TAAAACAGGGGATGCTTTTGTTTATTAACGTTGTCAAATTTTAATGTAGATTTATATGAAAGCGATAAATCACGAGTAGAAAAAAGAGTTCACCTAACCATCAAACAAGATAATGGGTACCTTGACTTGCGTCTCAAAAACAACCATGAGCGGGGTTAAGTATCGCCATATCAGGTTCAAGACATAGCGTTTAATAAATGAAGGGAAATACATTCTAACTAGTGTTGGGTGTGCATACTTTAACGCAGTCGTTTGATAAGGAGTATTTTAGCACTTTTTAATATACAGTATATGTCTTAATCATGGTCTTTGTGATGTTTAATCCCTTGCCTTGTTCTGAAATGCAACCTGGATTAGGAACTTAAAACCTAACTGAAAAACCATATATCCTCCTCTTGTTCATCTTTAACCTGTTAGTCTTTACATTTACATGCCAAGACATTACACCGAATAAATGTATAGTCATGCATGGATCAAATTTTTCAAAACTTAAATATCATGCATTGAATTTTTAATGTGCTTCTCGAGACCGTCCCGGAAACACCAAAAAAGGAAATCGCTGTCTTGAATTGATTACAAATAACAATGTCAAATCATTAAAGCGAAATTTGACAAAAAAAAAGGAACCCAGTAACCTGTTGAATATTCGGGTTGGCAATCTGTAGAAAATTGGCAAAGAGTAACATGTATCTAGTTTTTCTTTATGAGTAATTCATCTTATTCATCACCTGAGATAAATTTAGGATTGTCATTGGGGTGGAATGACTGGCCACCACAAGAGAAGCACGGCCAGTGTGAAAAAGTTCATTACAATTTGTCTTTGTTGTGCCTACACAATACCCAGATCTAATGCAAAACAAATAGGAACGAAAGAGCCATAGGGCAAGGCAAAATCTCTGTTCGGGCTAGGTGTTCCGAAAAGTCCTGTATTTGTTACCTTTTAGAGGCTATTGTGTATCGAGAACACACCGAAAAACTATCATGGAGTTTATGCAATAACTCGGATAGATAGCCACGAGAGGGTCGGTCTAGAGGGTTTACATCATGGGGAATGTGACACTAAGTTTTTGACCTTACGCCCCTCCTAATTATAATGACTGAACCATGCTAAGTTAATTATACGTTTTCGTTTCAAATCTCAATTGTGAAATACCTGAATGACCTCCCATTTTTTCGTCTGATCTATGTCTGAGTAAGGATTCAAAATTTTGGGTATCGGGATCGGATTTTGTGTGTGGCCACGACACGAAATTTCTGCATTCTTCCGCATCCGTATATTCAAATCTTGCTCATTCTTAGTGGATAGGGGAAGAATGCAAGTACGACTGCAATTTGCTTAGGGTTAGAAAAGATCGTTGAGTCAAGTTTCACTGTCAAACGACTCTACACATATAATATTAACTCGGTCCCTTGCTTTTTCGCGACCTTTCACTATTCATAGGGATCATTGCCGTGTATATGCATATTGAATGAATCCCCGTCATAAAAAAATGTGTAAGCCAACTATGTGAATTAAAATAACAATGAAGATATCATCTTGTATATAAAATAAGGGAGCATTTAGAACCTCTGGAAGTGTTTCTCAAAAGGTTATAACTAAATTCTGATCCCGTTCATGACGGTTTTTTTTTAACGTTTTCGAACAGTTTTACAAATCCTCACAAAAGCCTTTTACGACTTTGTGAGAGCCATATCCAACATTTTGAAGATTCTAATTTATATGTTATATTGATATATTCCTATCGATAAGGCACGCAGTAGAAGGGCCACACTAACACCTTGAGACATCTCTACGACAGCTTATCAAGAACATTTCAGATCAATAGCAACACAGGTGTGAAAATATCCTGCCATGCTGCTCTTTAGGAGAAAAACAAACTCTCCAAAAGATTTTTGACAGACGGATGATGACAGAGGGATCAGATGTGTGATCATTCACAAGAAAGAAAGCAAATATCTTCTTATTTTTGTCACAAAGAAATTGAAATATACATTGTGTATCACTGACGCAGTTACATTCGAAGATTTCTTTCTACGCATTATCTTTTCTGTCATATCTCGTCTGCCACTGTCTCAAATCGTGATTTTTTTTTATTATATCATCGACTCTTTTCAGAATCCCTTATTTTCCAGGGGGAAAAACCTCTAAATATTGAGAACTTTGTACAATTGTAGATTGAAGATAAGTGGGAAAATGCAAAGAATAGCTTTCTTTTTCTTAAATATATTAGTTTTATAGTAAAATTCTGTAATTTCTTTACACAAGAATATGTTTTTTTCTTAATAAACTGATCAGTGCGTCTATCGAACACTATACGAACCAATACAACCAATTTCTTTGGCTAAATTCAAATCGTCAATATTTGAATAGGCAAAGTGCTAGATAAGATTTCTTTCTTACGCATTTTCCGTTTTAGGGGTGTGAATCCGAAATTTTTATTAAAGAAATCTCTTCCACTGGAGTTTTGTTTAAGTGTTTCTTTCAAGCAAATGCTTCTCTGATAATCCAAGCATGTTGGGAACACCTGGTTATCGGTAGGCTAATGAAGATTTTTAGTAGAGCTTACTTTTTAAGCTAAACTTAATTTTATTATTTTTTTCCCGAGGAAAAAGAGACAAGAACGATTTTTTCCCCATAACGAGTCCGGATATTATCTTTGAAATATAATAATAATTGATGATGTTCTTGATCCTCTTTTCCTACAATTCTTGGCACTTGGTAAAACAGAATATTAAGTACACTTTGCACAGATCATGGTTTAAAAGAATCTCGAATACCAATGAGTGTGATAACGTCTTATGCATTATCATCAAACTGCAATTTCTCATTAAAGTTAAACTAAATCAGGATGATTTTCATCCCTATCTCTTCTCTATAACCAAAAATGTTTCAACTTGTTTATGTAATCTCCAAGAAAAAGTTGTCGGGGCCTGTCCTTATAAAAATATTACGTCCCTTTTTACATCAAGGAATTCTGATAATCAAGCTTATATTTCTAATTCAGGCTACTTGAAAAGTGTTAGCGTTGACACCTCCATTGTTCGGCTCGGCCATTGAGAGTGATTTAGAAATAAAACAAACCACTGAGGTAGCCCTTGCTCTGAAATCAGATAATGGAGTTCCACATTGAAATAAAATTAAAATGCCTTAAATCGGATCAGAAAACTTGCTCGCAGTAATCCCCATTTCAAATAGCGATTAGCGAATGACACCTGCGTTTCGTTACTGGCATTATATCAGAATGATTTTTACATTTTCTGGTGTTATAATTAATTGTGTGGGTTTTAATTATGTTTACAGGTTAAATCTGACATAGGTGCCCACTGCTTTTAATTGTTACGCAGAGGAATGGACTTTCGAGTGGTTGTTTTTCTCAATGACACTCGCGCTGGTCAAATATTATTGGATTTTCAACAGATGACATAGAATGAAGTTGAAAGTGTAAATGCAAAAATATTTAGATTCCCCCGTTTCAATGAAAAATAGACAAAGTGCGTTTATTTTTCCCCTTTTATGGTTCGTTTGTGATCGAGTATGGGATAAATGTGACTCAGCCAAATAAAAGGGTATCACCCTCCATGAATTGAAGTTTCACATGCAATAGAACAATTGTAGTGAAATTTGTAAAATTTGAATCCGTTGGTTTTTACTCTATTAAGTTTCATTTAAAAAGAAAACAACACCATGTTTTTTTTAGTAGTCTGCATAGTTTTATACAAAATTTATTCAATGTACTCTCCCTTATTTATTGTAAATTTTTAAGAATGTTTTTAAAAGTACATATTTATATGAAGTAAACGAATATGCGTGCATCAGAAACACTGAGAATTTTTTTTGTAGTGAAAATTTATACTTTTCCTTTCGACAATTGGACTGGATTAAACATCATCTCAATTTCCTTTCCAGTTCGCCAAAATCTTGAATGAAAATAAACCAAAAATTTACGCGGTTAATTTGATAGGTTTTTTTCCTAACTGGAATCTTTTCACAGTTGGAAAACCAGCAATTGCTCGTTCTAAAGGCGGCTTATCAAAGATGTTCATCGGCAAAAGCACATGCTTATCTGTGTATGATATTTGCTTATTTAATGTTTTAACGGTATTGCACACCTCAACACCTCGGTGTGTTTTAACCACGTGCAGAACCAGATTAAAACAACTAATAAATTCCCACCAAATTCCATTATATCTCTTTAAAGTATCTTGCTAACAATCCGTATACAAAATTCTACTTCAAGTCTTATCATTAAATGTATTAACATGTTTTAATCTTTTAATATTTGCGTGAAGAAGAAACAAACCCGGATTTTTGATTTGCAATATATGCTTCTAATTATTTAAGATGAAGACTTAATGATAGGCGAAAAAAGCTCTGTGTTTGAAACGGTGAATTATTGCACTTGCGTGTAGAATAATTACACGTTTTATTAAGTTACCCCTTGGCGGATAAATCTTTAATGGAATGAATGACACAACAGTTTATTGTGCTGGTAGTATTTAAAAGAACAGGTGTTTAAAGGGTTTAGATAATTGTCATTAAATGAAATTAAATCCAGTTTACAAGATTAAGGATTACTTATAAATGTCATGCTGTGTTTTTACATTGATCAGCTGATTTTGTTCATTTGTTGATAAACAGGCGTGATTTTGATTTAAATCGGGAGTAAATCCAAAAAGTTTAAGAATAACAAGTAAATTAAAAATAGGAAATGTCAATTAAAGTCTGAAAGAAGAAAGATTAACACACTGCAATAAAAGATTAATTCAATAAATAACAATGTAGGGTAATTAGGGATTGGTTATAATTGTTTTTTCCTTGAAAAATGTCTTGTCAGCAATATGAAGTTTTACCATACTGAAATAAGATATAAAGTGAAAGTGCTTATTTCTTAAAAAAAAAATTTAAAAAAAAAAAACAAAAAAAAAAAAAAAACACGTGGATTCCATGACTCAAAATTTGAAATTTATAAATGATAAATAAATTCTGAAAAAGAACCTACCAACACATGCATTAGCATCTGCGGATGTAGCCCTGGCCCATGGTCGGTCAAAATGGAAAGGTTTACACTTTTCGCAGTCGTTTCCCGCCGTGTTATGCCTGCACTCGCAAACATAGTTTCCTGCGCGGTTTTTGACGCATTTAGAAGCATGGCCGTTACACTTGCATCTTCCCCCTACAGCCAAATCGGACATGGCATAATAATAACTTTCCCTCACCCCATCATCATCTTCATTTTCATCATTGTAGGTGTTAAGTCGGTTGAAGACAATCATAATATCGGTAGCGGTGACCCAATCTTGAAGAATAGCATTATTCTCAAAATCATATGCAGACGGTCGACCCTCTAGGGTACTAAATGCCACCCGAGCCCCGTTTAATGGCTCGATGCTACTATATTGTTCCGTACAAAGTGCTTCTTGCTCATTAGATCGCGAAACAACGCCTTTGGGAGATTTTCCAAACATCTTTTTACAGCTGCTGGAATAATATTGAAATGGAATCCAAGTTTTACCATAATCCATACTTTTGAATATTCCCATTGATTCTGGTCTCGATGAACAGAATTGTAAGCTTATGTAGGTGAGCTCGTATTTTTTGTTCAGAGCTAGCTTTAAAGTAACATTCTGAGGGTATTGTAAATACGTGTTGGACATCCAGCATGTCAAGTCGTTGGCATTGTTGAGGTCTGTTAGATATGATGGGGGATGCATTCTTTTTGGATGCTTAGCATCACAGATAAAACAATTTCTAATCACTCTGTCCTTTTCCCTCGTCGACTGACAATACCGACTCGGTGGTGACCCGCACGTGCTGGAGGCTACCACCTCTTGTCCGAAAGCAGCGTTCACAAAATCAGGAATGCACATTTTTGATTCACCCCTTTCGTCATAACAAGGGTCATCGGGTGGATCCTGGACAGAGAACATATTAAATTGTGCTGTAACTTTAACGTACATCACAAACCACAACAGGACGTAAACAAAGTAATTCCGGAATAGTGATTGCAAGGAATATTTGAATTTAACTTTCATCGTCACAGGATGTTTCTATTCTTATCCAATAATGAAAAAATAAAAACGGGAACACACAAGATTTAGAAATGATATTCTATGAATGCATCGCGATGGTATCTCTGAATTTCATCTCGAGCCAATATCACGTTCCACATAAAATCATCAACATCTTTTGTGCATCTAGATCTCTTCCTTCAATGACGTAGAAATTTCCTCATTTCCATTCTTCAGCTATTTGTTTATTTTTAAATGAAGAAATTTTGATGACTGTGCACTGAATGACTGAATCTTTGTATCAGATGACGAGCCGATTCAGCGTTTGATTATTCGCCTTTTCTCCTATCTCTATGATTAGTTTGTCCTAAGTCGCTCACTTCTAAAATCCATTCGTCAAAGAAGATATACAATGGAGAATATATATATACCTCAATAAAATATGAAAAACACGTAAATTTCTCTTTTGCGCTTTATACAATGAGTTTGCTTCTCTTAGTCTCTTTCAATAATGATATGTGCCTATAAGAATTTTCAGCACCACATCGACCCGCCCACCTTCCCATCAATCAAAGCAGCGAGGGTTTAGAAACACCTATTTACAATAGCAGGGTATTCTAATGCCACTCCGAATGCCACAAATACCCGCCTATATTAACTAAGCCTGATACGTCATGCCTTGTATTAATTAATCGGTACTGGTCTACATTTTTTGCTCTCGTAAAAATCACCGTAGGTGCGAACAAGATACGCGTTGATATGTCATTAAGCTTGTTAAAACAAAGTTATTCTCAATTCCGATCGCAGTGATCAATTTACTATCTTGTAAAGAGCATTTTTGGAACGAAGGATTTATCGGAAATGTGGGTTAAAAAATGAGCTGATCGTTTATATATAAAGTAAAAAATGAATTGTTTTCGCTATGATGTCTTACGATGTCAGTCAAACAAAAGTTTATCTACATTCCCGTTTTATTCAAGAGTTAATTAATTAGTTTACAAGGAAGAAATTAAAATATCCAATATGATCTTTTGTCACAGTCACGGGTAATGAGTTCACGCAAATAAACAAAATGAAACAGGTAATATAAATACCAGGTCTTATTTGACAATTTCCCAACCTAAATGTGTGTTTGAATTCCTGAACAATACCAGAATATTTCATCAAACTTATCTTCTATTTCCTTCATCTATACCCCGTTCTTTTTGGAACAGTTAAAGGATACTTAAAGACTTGTTTTGGAACAAAGTTTATGCATTTTATTAAAACAACCTTTGCCCGTAGTATCCCGGACTACTTAAGGAGAATGGTTTGGAATGTCTTCTTTTCATGCGATGCGGATCAGGAATCGTCATCAAATTTACATAAATATTCAAAGAAATGTCAGAAGTGGAAGCCTGATTTGAGACAGGTATTGATAAAAGTCTTCTCTTTTACAACTTTTAAATTTTAACCTGAATATCCTTGTATCAATACATTTTGTAAACTACCTTTTTACAGATTCATAAGCTCTTGATTTCCTAATAATAAAAATACCAAATTAAAATGTGAAATATTTAGAGAACATTTTTGTCTGTCGACTGAAGGATACAAATCTGCCATATCTCGGAATCAAGATCGATTTCCTCCAATACCACGACGTATCCTCTCAAAAGTACTTCAAAAAATCCAGTAACACCTGTTATATGTTGAGAAATTTAGTGTGAATTGACCTTCGTTTCATTTGTTTAAGTTACAAACAAAATGTGATAAAGCCATTGAAACTCGAAAGACCATTGAAAGTCATAAACATCTAGGTATTTCTAAGTCTACAGGATTAATGCTTTCTAAATAAATGTGAAGTAGCCCGTCTTTGATAACCGATAAATCAACTTGATTGTATTCTTGACCTGCAGGTGTAAACTCCACTTCCAAATTTACAACCTCACGGACACCTTTAAATAATCGGTTGACGCAACGATATCATCTATTTTTCTTATTCTTTTGATAAAAAGAAAATTAATTTGGTGCGTATCCTCGGAGGGATTTTTTTTATGCTGTGAGGGAGGAACTTTGTTGTGTGTATACGATTGTCCAAGTGGGAAAACTTATCTCTGCGTAAATATTGTTAAATCTAAACATTCCGTGTGCAAATTGAATTGTACCAAACGTGTAAGAGTTTAGATTTCCTTGCAAGTAATTTTCTAAATTAGAGGTACAGCACCATCCATCATTAGCAATTAAGCGTCTTCGTCTATCGTATCTAACACTAGTGATGGTAAAAAAAAAAAGATCCCCGTCTTTCTTTATACATCTGATTATCAGGCTCGTCTTTGATTCGCACGAACTCAGATTTACTCCCTCGATCAACGAAGAAAAAAATCCTTGACATGTCAGTCTATACGTGTCTTGTGTACAAACAACGAGACCTAATTATTCACACAAAAGAATTAACTACATATTTTTGCTAATTGTATGAATGAATTAGTTATCTGGGATTATCAGGATTAAGCGTATCGCGCATGCTCCAGGGCCCCGTTCACACTTCTTTTTTATCAAAGTTTTTAGCTCTACTAAATTATGCTTGGGGTGATGAGATTGATAAATTAACACGTGTTATTTAAATAGGCATATCAAGTAGAACTCGGACCGTTTAAATTACACATATCATCATGAATGATTTAAAAAGAATCGGGAATGCACTCAGAACACTTGATTTTTTAATTTTAACATTCCATGAGACTTTTAATGATAGCTGTCAAAATTCACTATGAAAATTATTAAAATGCTACATTTAAAAATTCTTGCTTTAGATTTTACAAAGAAATAGACAATAGGAGAATGACTGAAAAAAGTCTCGGAATGTGTCACTTTATCGAAATGATTATAAATTGTCGGAAACAATACTACATGTACTGTTGCTCATGTGTAATACTAAATACTTATATATTTAAAGCAGAAAGAAAAGTTATTCAAGTGTTAGGGAATATAACTATGGACAAATATAAAAGTGATATTAAAACATTTGACTAACATTAAGATTACCGGTATATAAGATGAACACGATTTTTCACAAAAAATTATATTATTAATTAAAAACATTACTGAAACACTCTTGACTTATCGTGAGGTAATTGATCATGTTTTTTTTTCTTTAAGACCGACAGAGTTACGGAGATTGTCTGAGGAATCCTTCAGTTAGAGTTGCGGATCTTCTTACAGTCGCCCACTGCGTTCAGCTTACAGGGTTCCTCATTGCTACTTCATAAAAATGTGATTAAAACCCTTTAAATGGACTAATTTCGTAGATCTACTAGGGAGAACGAACCACACGAACGCGGGTATCATTTTGTCAAAGTTGAAACATAGCTTGGCATAGATAGTTTGAATTCAAAGAAATTTAGAAATCTTCAATATATTAAAAAGAGAGAACAAATATAGCACACTCCGATATATATTTCATGTGTTTTATTTTCTTGAGCTACTGTAATTGTAGTAAAACAAGTTTCATTATGTGCTATATAGCTTCTTTATAATGATGAGCTGTCACCAATATACATGTAATTATTACGTTTTTATAGCAAAAGAATAGCAAACGTAGGTATATGGTATCGTCTTGATACAAATTGGCAAATTTAATATGTAATGCTTAAAAGTTGGTTATTATGGGGCGCCAGATCAACAGTAACTCAAATAATTGAATATATCTTCAACTTTTTTGAAGATAAAATCAATATTTATGTGTGAGTTCTTGAGCGAATTAAATCATATGCTGATATCATTAATTAATTTGCTGAATTAATGCGCAAAATAATTGAATTTTCACTCTCTTCCAGTGAATTGATGATATCAACAATTTAATTGATGCGTGCAAGCAATAAATAAATTCAATTTATTATATAGCTAATAAATAGTCTATACATGTAGTAAAAAAAAAACTACTAAAATTCTAGAGAATTAAAACATTCAATATCTTATGTTGAGTGCTGAGTTTGCACTACGTATACGAGTACATTGTATGCACCGAAACATTCCGAATGTGACAGTGAGTGTTCAATATCGAACGCCCCGTTGTAAACAAAATATATCATCTGGTCACCGGTACTCGGGGATATTGCACCGTTTTAATTTAATACCGATACTACACAATTTCTCATTAGTTTTGTTATTTAATATAAATAATTAATATAAATCAATTGGGATACGTCTTAGCTATACATGTATGTATATTATAAAAGAGTTGATGAACTTAGCACTAGTTGGCTGTACAAAATGAAATGCACTCGCAAGCTCGGGCATTTTTACAGCCAGCTCGTGAGTCGTGTCAATATTCACCTATACAAGTTCAGTTACCCTATATAATAGCTCAATAATTGATTAAAATATCATACATTCAATCAAAGAGCCTAGCAATTCACTTAGAGGCAACTATTTAATTAATGATATCAATTATTGAATTCAATTCAACATATCCATTAATTTTATGATGATCTCTATAAATATATTATTGTTCTCTTTGAAAAAAGAGATTCCTGTTTAATTTCTGTCATATAATTAAAATATCTTAAATTGAATTGTAAATTGGTGCTCCATAATTCATAGTAATCCAATATATATATATATTCTGGTAAAGATCATAATGATGAAATGTGAAGAGAACAAAGTCGTGTATATATATATATATATATATATATATATATATATATATATATATATATATATATACAATGTCAGGTCTCCAATGTGTTCAATAAATGAGATTCCGCTCTTGATTACAGTTACAAATGCATCACATTCTGAACAAATTCAAAATAATACATTTACTGACTTTTAAGTGTTAAAGTAGCTTTGCAGACTAAATGGGTAGGTTCATGTAAAATGTCTTTATAACTTTCATCAATCCATTATTTATCGACTACAATTCCTCCCATTTTCAACTGTGTTTCTTCACTCCCGCGCAGTTGTTCTTTTTACTGATTGGCTGCTTATACATATATGTATCTAGGATGATTCCATTTGGCTGCTTTTGGGTCCACTCTCCAGGTTCATGCCTATGACGGCATACCACGCAGGTACAGTATAGGTTTGTAATATCTATGATTAATTGTTTTTTTTATTCTTTGAACTTTTCCTTTGTATATTTCATTTCGACAGATCATCGAGGCATATTACCAGGGAACGCACTAACGGGATGAAAGACTTCTTCAGTGCCATGTTTATTTCACCAAAACACACAAGTCCATGTTGTTTAATGGGAGAAACAGGTCCCATAACCAGTGCTCGTTAGTTACCGGTTTTCTTAAACTCCCATTCCTTCATTTTTTTTAATTTTGAAGACGCACTCAGCAAGCCTCGTGTCTCTTGCAAATTAAAAAAAAATGTGGAACTCGAGTTTGAGGAAAACCATTAAAAGGAGCACTAGTTATGGAAACTATATTTATTTTTTCTTTATTGTATTCTAAATATCAATGATGTTTTTTTTTTTTTTACTTTTATTTTTTTTCGGGGGGTGGGGTGTGTGTTCCATATCAACTCTAACAAATGTCAGACTCGGAAATTTTTTGACAATTTTTGTTATGTTTACATAGAAATTTAACAACTCTTAAACCTAGGGGGTCCGGAGCCCCCCCTTAATCATGATCAATGCATGACTTTTAAAAAGTTAGTTTTTTAAGAAGATGGTCCCAAATGGTATAGCCAATGTTCGCTGTAGATGCAACCTCAGGAATTGCTACTCAACGTTGTAACGTCAAAACGGCGTCTAGATGGATAGTTTTTAACGTCAGACGTCATTTTAGCAAGCTGGGGACACTAACGCGAAACATTTTGATTGTTTTGTAATTTTCTTATTGACTTATAAGATCTGGTGATATCTAAATGTTTTTCCTCCATTGGAAATGCGGCACACTAAAATTTCATTGTAATGAAAATGACAGCCTCTCTCTACAAAAATAAAGGGAGGGGGATCCAACCCCCGGAACCCCCTCTCCCTCTGGATCCGCCAATGATAGGAAATAAAACATAATATTTTAATATGCATTGAAGAAATTACAGTTGCAAATTGCTCGTTCTCCCACAAGCTCTTTTACAACGAAAAGTAATCATTCCTTGTTCACACATCTGTCATTGTCGTGTTGCTCACCCCATGATGCCTAAAAAGGAAGTAAAAGTCGTTAGATCACAGTAATCAATAGCCATTGAATACATAAAATATACTTATCGTGTAAGTGTATTGCACAAACCAAGATATCATATTTCCTGTGGAACATCGTGATGAATATCGCTCTATGTCCATTTATTTTATCCTGAGTTTTAGCAGACGAACATTTAGTATTTATTTCATACGTATATGGTAAAACTATTTCTTACATTTTCAACAGTGAAATACTGTGATTCATTTATTGAAAAAAATTGATTTTCTCTCACAGTGTGATAGGATACCAAAGTGCTATTCTCTCACAGTGTGAAAGGATGTCAAATTAAAAAAAAAATTCTGATCTGTAATAAGATAAAGATTAGTGACTAAACCATCTTAAAAGAGACTAAACTGCCAATGTCTTCCAAAATATGTTGACTTGCTTAAATCTATATTACACTGTTTTCAATCTCACAGCTGCTAAGCTGCTCAACAATGACGTCACAACCTATGCCACTGTGTTAAGAAAAGACTAGAGGCAAAGGGAAAATCAAAGAAAATGTAATAAACAGAAAATTTAATATTTTGTAGTTGGATATGGAAATATTTCACTCGTGAGACAGGATATTTTGATATTTTCACGAGTGCAAAGCACGAGTGACGATATCAAAAAATTCCGTCCCACTCTTGAAATAAATTCCATATCCAACTACATAACATTGAATATCCTCTATTTTACTACAAAAGAAAAACTTTACAGTGCATGCCTAGATATCGAACATCTGAAACATGAACTTCATAATCCTCTACGTGTTCATGTTCTTTCTCTCTCTACAACTGTAGTCCTGCTGGACACGTCATTAAGTACTGGTGACGTGAATACATATTTCGATCTTTCAACTGGCGACAAAATTTCAAAATTATTATGAATTCTGTCGAAGATTATTCTAGGCAATGGTACTAACATGGAAAAGAAGACCTTTATACTTTGTCAGAATGGATTAAAGTTGAAATCTTGCATTAAACGGTTGAGGAGCAATATACAGTTGTGTATATGAAATCCATGTATCCTTCTGTCTTCAGTTATTCAGAAGTGAAAAAAAGAATAAGATAGATTAAACTATTAATATGTACTAGTCCCAGATGACAAATTAGGTAGCAACATTGTCTTTGTTTGTAACGCTCATTATAATTGTATTTTAGTGGAATTTGGATATAAGTTTGCAAGTAGTAATCCAACTTTTATTCATACTTCCCTTTCTGAGTAGGAAATTCTTAAAAATCATATGTCAGTTTTAAATATTAAATATTCCCAACAATCACACTGAATTTGAATATACCTATATTGGATTCCTAAACTTCATAGAAATCATCACAAATAAAGATACATAGCGGGTTCCAGTAAATGTTCTACCAAGTCTCTTTATTTACTCCATAACAAAATATTAACAGCAGAGAATGAAAAGTTTCGGGAGTACTAAACAACAACATATTCGAGAAGAGATATTTTTCAGATATGGATACCTAAAAAAACTCCAAGGAACTTTTAGAAAATTTGAATTCACAACATTAATAATATTTTACCAAAATCAATAGTATCAAAACTTAAGACTTTTCTACACTTTATACAACCATTCCCCACCATAACTTTTGAAATCATAGACAGCTCTTTCATGAATAAAAATGGAACTCCTAAATTTACATACCTTGTCATTAGTCATAAAATATAAACCCGATTATGACAAGGTAAAATACACGGTAGGTGTGACCTCTCGACATGGAATACTTCCTCTTCCATGGCTCCTCGCCTCTGATATCGATGTTTTAGAGGTCCAGGTTCCCCCTGCTTCCAGTTTGTATTGTTCCAGTGGACTTTTGAGATTGATTACTGTTCGTTATCTTCATATTTCATTTAATTTGTTCTTGGACTGTTTGGTCAGGAAAAGTCACAGAAGTATCTATCGAGCTAAAGAGGGTTACTGGAGGTATACGCAGTGGTGATTCATACCTGAGTATTTTTCTCTATTTGTAGAATTCACACTTCAAATTAAAGACTTGTAGTTTTAAACGCAGTGAATGTATTATAATATCTCGGGGAAATATTATCATATAATTTATATTTTTTTTTCGGGTGCTTCTCGAGCTCACAAAATCCTCAATTTAAAGTAGCAGAAAATTTCATTTTTTCACATTTTCCGTTTGATACCATGGCAATCAAGGCACAAAGAAACCAAATTTTGTTTGATATAGATTTCTGGTGTCAAGCCATAATAATAAGCAAAGTTTCTGGTTATACGTAATTTGTAAACAATTTACATGTAAAATGAACTTATACTTGCAAGTATACAGCAATACAGCAGCATATAGAATTCCTCCTTGAAAGCAAAGCAAATACGTACGGTAGTCTTACTGTTTGCATACTCCTGTTGCTTTTATGGATTTTATTGCAATAAGTCAATTTGAGTGCTGTGATTAAATGATTTTTTCAAGAAGGACGAGGTTATTACATTGGCCAAATGGGGGACATATGTATCATAGACATGAATAAAATACACTTTTTAAATTAGCTACATGTATAATGCAGGAGGCTGCATACCTTTGTTTTTCGGTATTTTTCTATCATATCAATCATTTAAGACTCCGTAATAAATTGATTGTTTTTTACAAAATTTTCATACGGAAAATGATAATTTATCAAAGACATGAAAAGTCAAACAGTATGTACATGTACATCAAGGGGGAGGGGCACGTGTCTTACAAGTACCTGTGGGTAACAATATACCAGAAAGACTTCCCTTTTTCAATGATATTTAATCAAAATTGTAGGGGAAAAATTCGAAATTACGTACGCCTGGAGGAGACTAGTAGTGCCCAAAACGAATGCATATCATATTCAAAACATGTAGAAATCATAGTTAATCGTCAATGGAATTTTTCTTAAATATTTTACTAATTGTAATTTTTTTAACAACGGTAAAATCTTTCTACATAACATTTCAAGGCCTATCATCCTACTGAACTTTGCTATCATATCTGTTTTGTCTTGGCTTTTAATGCATGTGAACAAAATTTCCTTTTTAAATCAGAAATTGAAATAAAATATATGTCTATTGGGAGTGAATTTTGATGAAAAAATCCTGAGTAATATACAGCAGACCTGAAAATTCCATTAAAATACACTGAATGGTTTCTGAAAAATCACTGAACCTTTTTTTTTTTTAATTTTAACCCTACATGTACATCAGTTGCAATACAATTCAGAGATTCATTTATTTGGACATCTGCCTTCCCCCAACCATGCAATCCAATGACATTAATTTTCAGTCAATCCATCAGCTTCAGAAGAATGATGCTTTTTATTTAGATACGTTTATCTATTTACATTTGGATCGTTAGCATTATAATATGTTAATTAGCATGAATTTATTTATATGTCACCTACAGCACGTCATGATGGATAATAGCCGAGAGTCCTAGTGTATAATGAACTTTGTGTGATAAAACTGCTAGGTTAACTTGAATATATATGACAGGAAATGATATACAGTAATGGTTAAGTTTATGGAACATACGCTGTCCTTAAATTTTTGTTGTAAATCTTTATTATTCAACATTTACAATTTTCCAAAATTCTTTTAATTTGTTAACTTTTAAAACACTCGAGGTTCTGGACTTCAAAGGTTATAATTACTGATATTTAATTAATTTTGTTCTACTAATTTGTTAAGTAAGAGAAAAAAATAAATTGGAAACATGTAGTATAGATATTATGGTATTTTAAATAAGAAATTGTCCTTATTTAAATTTTTTTTTTTACTAATTTGCTAAGTAAGAGAGAAAAATAAATTGGAAACATGTAGTAAATATCATGGTATTTAAAAAAATTGTCCATAATAACAGGAAAAATACTATGGAATCATCCTGGTCAAATAGGGAAAATAGGAAGTCTGTCTTTTGGAAAATTTGATAAAATTCTTTTCCTCATTATTCTGAGCTAGAATTGTTCCGTAAAAGTAATATATGTTTTAAAAGCATATAATAGATTTACAAATGCTGTACGTCTGGACATTTTACACAAATTGAACACGCAACAGTCCTTCTTAAATTTCTTCTTATGTTTTTTTCTTCGTGCTACATATACATGTAGGTTCCATAACGAGACATGTGCGAGATACATTGTAGTTACCAGGTTTCTACAACTGGGTTCCTTAATCTAAAGCAAGAAGCTTGCTGAGAATCTTTTCAGATTTGTAAAAAAAAATATAAGGTACGATAATTAAAGAGTAACCTGTAACTAATTAGCGCATTTTATAAAAACCTTTTCTCATTTCTTAAAACTTTACTACTTCGCCGATAAGGTTTCTCTCACCCGAGAGAGAGAGAGAGAGAGTCACTATACAGCCCAAAACTTTTTCACTAAACATGCTTTTGTTAATAAAATAAATACACATTCTGAAATAAATGTATTACCTCTAAACAAAGAAACAAACAAAAGATATTTATCATTAAAGATATTTCACATCATTCATGTTTTAGCATTTATTTCTTCCCCTCTTTGTATGAATGTCATCCTTCATGCAACTATGAGACTATGAATGAACGTTCTTTGGAAGTGAGTACCATTCCCGCTGGATTTTTTTTCCTAACATCTTTTAAAGTGATTTGAATGATTTGCCCCGTGTCTCCTTTAATTGACCTCAAATGGTCTCATTTGGGTTTAAATCGGGTAGAGGTGTCAATATGGTTTCAATCTGTAGAGGTTTCAGGTTGCAAAAGTGTAGAAATTGCATTTGATTTGAGAAAGTATCTTGTGCTATAAGTAGGAGATACTGATAAGTGTTAGTACCATGTGTACCTGTGTAGCATTTTTGTATTTATTTGTATTAACATATTTGACTATGCAATATGTATTAGCACCGTGCTATAAGTAAAAAAAGAAAACCCTACAATTTCTCAGAAATATAATACATTTCTGTAAACGGAAAGCAGTCCTAATTTATACCATACTGAAAACATTTGGGTCAAAGAAAAAGATTCTTTCTCAAATTATGCCAATGACTTAAAAGATATTTAGAAGAAAATACAGCGGGAATTGTGTTTAATTCAGAAAAATGTACATGAACTGTCAAAACTTAATTTTTAGCGTGCCCAGTCCATTATAGCTGTTACCAGAGCAAAAAAAAGGAGAATACTACGTACTCTGGAAAGTTAAGTATCAATTGTTGATATGAAAAGATACCATAGACTTTCAAAATTCATCATATCTTTTGTTTTCATCTTTGTTTAGTAGTAATACATATTTTTTTTTTCAAAATAAGCATTTAATTTATTTCATTAAGATTAAAAGTTTTTGGGTTGTATTGGAGTTGATGAAACATATAGCGACAACAATAGGTGAAATATAGTACTGTATTACTTACTTCTTACACAACTGCAGACCGCATTGGTGTTAGGTGGGCATTTTGTCTTTTGTCCATCTACGACCAATAAACACTCGTGTCCAGGTTCACATCCCCTATTTTTTTTTTTTTAAAAACTTATCAAATATTAAAGCATTTATTTGAAATGATGTCCCATTTATGATATAACATTGATCTACATTTATCCTATCTACAACCTTCAATAATTAGCGTTTGCTCTAGAGTCGAGCAAGGGTTCGTGAGGGTTACAAAAGAGGTCGGACTTAACTTGCTTTTATACCGGTATGTTTGATTACTCTGTACAATATCATCTATTAAACTGTAACGACAGGGATATAATATGAAAAATAAGTCTCACCAAAACTGACAAGGAATTGCATCTTCAGTATCCATGACGTTTGGTATCAATGCAGAACTTGACGGAAATGGGTCTCTTGAAAAAGCTGGAATACCGCGAATTTTGTTCACAGATTTTTCTACAAGAAGAAAATAAAACCACGATTTTATTTCAAAGCCAATCAGAAACATATAATAATGAATAATTATAAATGATTTCTTCGCTAAATTCATACAAAGTTGAGTGGGAGTAGTCAGATTGTAAGTTTAATTGATACATCTATTACATACTTCTCAGACACTGACATATATCTCCGCTTTCTGTATTACAGAGGGTAGGTTGACCTTTTACGATTGTCATGCATTTGAAGCTCTTCTCCAGACACCCTCTATAGAAAAAGAAAATCATACATTTCATAGATTATGTAGCTAATTTTTTTGTTTGTATTGCATCTCAAAGACTGCATGGTTCGTCAAACATTGCAATGATACTTACAAAATGTAGTATTTAGATTTGTATCATACAAAGCCTTTTAAAATTCGTATATATTCTGTACATTTACTTACACATACTGACACGGCAATCCTTTAAGACTTTCTTCTCCAACCTCCATATTATCCGGAACATCCAATGGATCGCCTCCTTTATTTTTCGTTTCCGGTACAAATACTTTCCAAGAACTGGATTCATGATTCGCTTTAGAGAAGACCTTTTGCTTGCTTCGAGATTTTTCTGGTAATTTTATTCATATTATGAATTTTAATTCTCACTTATGGATAATATTAAAATGATTTAAACAAAATCAGTTTTCACATCGATCGAAATTAATTTTCAGTTCTTTTTATTATTATTTCCTAGGTCAGTTAATTTTATTCCAGTCTTAACTTTATGTAATACTAACTAGAAAACTATGAAAAAAAAATAGTTCCAAACAATTGATACATATATAGACACAACAGAAAAAAACTCGTACCTCTCATGCATTGACAAGTCTCAGTACTGTCTTCTTGGCAAACGATTGCCCGACCATTAGCAAACCGCATACATTTGAAGTCACTGATACAACCCCTGGATTTACAAAAATATTTTATAACAACGGTTATTTTTTCCCTCTAACTTTATTTAATATATGCACTTAAAACAGCACTTATTTGCATGCTTGCATTTTAATAGGAATGGACATGCGCCCATGATTAGTTTCAGGACGTGCTTTGCACATAGATGTAAATTCTTAAAAAGTTGTCAATATTGTAATCTTTCATTCACTACTCTGTTTATCTACCACGCAGCTGAATTTGAAATAATTAATCAGAATAAAAAGTGCAATAACCATTTACATGTTATTTTGTAGGAAAAAACAACATACAATGTACAATCTATTTCACTCACCCCCACTGACATGGCACAAAGTGATTCTCACCCCCGAATTCAAAGTCTGATTCCCGAACAGCGTTGGGTTCCCCGCCTACATGTATCCCTGTTTCCGGAACCACAGACTCTGATTTCCCAGCATTTGTTTTAATCACCTCCGGTTCGATATCATTTCTTTGGTCTGCTTCCGGTTCGACAGTGTTTGCTTTGCTTTCGGTTATTTGAGGGACAATATTCTGCCTTTTAATTTGATTGGAAAATGGATTTGAATGTGATCCTTGATTCTGTGGAGGTTCCTTATTGCTTTCAGCCTTTTCTCCGCGTCCTATGTTGCCAAATCGTGATGTCAACCAAAATTTACTCGATGTGAATTTTCTTCGAACATTGTTTGTCTTTTTAGCAATGTCAGGACTGTTAGGGTCATTTAAGATGTTCCTCTGCAGCAATTCTTGCTTCTTATCTTCCTGTCTGTTGCCAAATGGGTTGCTAAATTCTCCCGATTTTTTCTTAATATTCAAATTATTTCCTTGACTGTGATGTGTCCGAAACAACTTGCGTTGTGTATCAAACAATCCAGTCGAAAATGGTATAATAATTATGATAGAATACAACGCAAAAATGTTGAATACTTTCATTATAATATAACTGTCCGTTTGCTTATGCAGACTTTAAACTTATATTATATTGTTTAGTTTAGTGTACGTATATTAAAAGAGATGATATTGACTACTGTATCTTGAATCGAATTTTTGTGAGCCTTGATTGCCTTTAGTCCTCGTTTTTGGCATACTGATATTAAAGTTGATGAATGATGTAACATTTGGTTAAATGTACTTGAACACATGTTTTGCATTCATTATAGAAATATTGACCGAAATCTTGAACCAAAAGAATAACGATTAATGGTTTTCATTTCATTGTGCCTTGCCTAGAATTTTCAAAGCAATGAATAATACCTGCTTCTTAAAATTGAAAACCTTTTTCAAAAACTAGTTTATTTATTTAATAAAACTCGTCCAACCATTAGATGTTACAATTTGTATAAAAAAGATACATTAACTAACAAAAAACTATAGAAAAACTTAGTAAGATTTTTTTAACAATAATGATCACAGTTTATTCAGAGTAAACACGCATTTGTGAGCAGGTTGTATTTCTCTTCCATGTTTATACTACTAAAGAAATTACAACAATTTAATTTTCGCCTTTAGTTTCAATTTCTCCTCAGATCTCTTTTCAATTAACTTTTAATTAACAGTTACATGAAAATACATGGTTTATTTACACTATACAATCAACATACTGACAAAGTGACTGTGTTTGTTCATGAGCTACGATAACTTTAAATGTTCAAGTAGGTATACATATACCAATAGTAAATGTTCAAATAGCATTGTTGGAATTACAGAAAATACTAATACATTTGAACCATTCGCCTCGGTGAAACATAATAACTTGAACTACATGTAAAGGACGCATACAAGCAGTGCAATTCCTTTTATTATTTTCAATGAACTATATAGTACGGCATAGTTTCTAACGAAATAGTTTCCAATATTATCCAAACAGAGTCCCCAAAAATCTGTTGAGGATTCCTCCTAAATTTAAGGTCGGTCGTTGCCTTCTCTGGTTTTTTCGAATCCGTCTGCGAATTTTTTGATCTTCTACTTTTGCCATACATGCTCGGGATCTTTTGCACTCAACCTTGAATTGGTTTGAAGATAAAATGTTTATTATATGGGTTACATTGCAAGAGGCACAGCGACTTATTATGTACAATGCAGAGATATGACAAAGACAGAAAACATATTTACCCGTCCATCTGGAAAGCACTTGCAGTATTTACATTTTCCCTCGTATTTTAGATAGGCATGGGGAATGAATTTCTGATCGTGGATACATCCTGGAACACAGACACACCTCCCGCTGTAAGCCCGGGGGCACAAGGTCGCACTCCTCGTCACTATGGTCTTTGCTATCACACACTCTTGGCCAATGTTACAACCACTGAAGTTTTAACAAATTGAAATTAATTTTCTTTTGGTGCTTCTTGTATTATTTATATGCATGCGATTCATTAAAATAACTGGTTATGGATCATCCCAAAAAATATATCAAATTTGTTATCAGCTACATTTTGAAAAATAAAATAAGTACAAGTACAGTCTGTCTTTCTTTTTCTTAAAATATATCCCATGGTAAAATTAATTTTGGGATTAAAAATGACATCAACCGTATTTTTTTTAACATCAACTTCCAATTCGTTTTAAAACATAACATCTGAAAAAGTATGACTGAATTTGTAATTTAAATAAGTTCTTGAACGATAATTGCATTTATACAAGTTGAGTTTCGACCCATTAAATATTTTTTACAAACCTGAACTGACATTCTGGGCCATTTGGAGCGGGTGGTGGCAGAGGTGGATGTGGACCGTGATGTTTGATGGGTACAAGGTCTCCGATCTTGTGTCTAGGACTATAAACATTAAAATCATCCACGTGAACATCTCCGGCATGAGGTCCATGGTGGGAATGTGAACTCACCGGTACATCACGATGATGAGGATTAATCGGTACGTCATGATGATGATGATCTTTCGAAACATGGACATCGGTGTGATGAGGATTTACCGGTACATCATGGTGATGCCTATCTTTTGATACATGTACATCAACATGGTGAGGATCTACATGTACATCATGATGATGTTTTGTCGGCATATGCACAGATTTTACCGGTACATCATGATGGTGATGATTTGTCTCTACATGTATATCGGTGTGATGAGGATTTACTGGTACATCATGATGGTGTTGATTTACCTTCACTTTAACATCGGCTCCATGAGGATTGACTTTCACATCATGATGGTGATCTTTTACTGGTACATCGGTATGGTGTGGATCATGAGTGTGTGAAATAGCCGGTATATCATGATGATGGGGATTTTGTGCTGTGCCGTGACGGTTTGAACTGACTAGTACATCCTGATGATGGCTACCGATGAAACCAGGGAAGATACGAATAGGACTCACTGGCCCTATTTGCCTTGTGCTTATCGGTATATTACGAGAACGTGGACTTACGGGTGAGAAACCACGATCTGTATTTATTGGTAAAATTCCAAGATAAGGATCTAAAGGATTTGAGCCAATAGGCAAGTTTGTAAATTGAGAACTCACCGATGAAGCACTACGACCTGTATTAGTCTGCGGTGCTCCTGCACTAAATGGACCGCTAAAAGGACCACTGAAAGGACCACTAAATTGACTGAAATCATCCCTTCCTGAAGGAAACCCACCAAAACCGGGTGGAAGTGGACTATTGCTACCGGTAATTAATCCATTGGAAAAACCTTGCGTGCCGAAAGAAGAAGGTCCTATACCTGCTATTGGATTTATTGACGAATCTCCAAGATTTGCCTTTAAAGTCGCTTTTTGAGTTCCAGGAGGAAGAGTTTGGCTATTTTCAGGACCTTGTATCACCAAGGCTGAGACCAAAGACATCAAAAACGAAACAAGGATAAAAATTCCCACCTGCATCTTGTAATACAATCCGACTTAAAATAACTAAAACAATTTACATGTTCAACGACTTACGTTGAAACGTTACACGCGTTATTGAATCTGATCCATCACGTACCAAAGACAGATTAGGATTTAATCAGGAAGACTCTCCCTAATGTTTACAACTGATAAGGAAAAGTTGTTTTACCATGAAAGTATAATTAATCTTAAATTGTAACGAGGATTTATATTTGTTGTTCCAACATCAAATCAAAAAACATTACATTTAATTTATATTTAGTATAGATCACATCTGAATAATTACAAAAGAAAGGATATACATTATTGGACAGTACCTTGTATTTACATGTGAAAATTTTCTTTTCAGTCTCATTTTGATCTTTCGAGATATATATATATATATATATATATATATATATATATATATATATATATATATATATATAGAAAGCACAAAGAAATTCACTTTTTTTTATAAGGATACACACTTCCGCCCCAGCCCAGGGTTGAACTCTCGACCTACGGAATCTCCTAGCAGTACAGGAACAGCACGCTAGACCGCTCGGCTATCTAGGCAAGTCAAAAAACTTGCTTTCGATTCCGATGGAATTCTCGCGGCGCTGCTCTACACTACACGGTCATTGAGAATGGAATATAAATGTGCTTTATAAATAAAACTCAATTTCATTACAACGTATATTGGTAACGATCCTCTAATAAAACTAATAACCAAATAACTGTGTCTCACTTCCATTCTCAATGACCGTGTAGTATAGAGCAGCGCCGCGAGAATTCCATCGGAATCGAAAGCAAGTTTTTGACTTGTCTAGATAGCCGAGCGGTCTAGCGCGCTGTTCCTGTGCTGCTAGGAGATAGATTCCGTAGGTCGAGAGTTCAACCCTGGGCTGGGGCGGAAGTGGGTATCCTTATAAAAAAGTGAATTTCTTTATGCTTTCTATATTAATATTTCTTCACTTAGGGCAGTTATGTTAGTTTAAGAGTTGTTTTAAAATGTGCTTTATAAATAAAACTTAAAATTTCATTACAACGTGTATTGGTAACGATCCTCTAATAAAACTAATAACCAAATAACTGTGTCTCAATTCCATTCTCAATGACCGTGTAGTGTAGAGCAGCGCCGCGAGAATTCTATCGGAATCGAAAGCAAGTTTTTTGACTTGCCTAGATAGCCGAGGTGGCAGGGGATAGTTTCGTACTAAAGACCCGGTCAAATTTTTAAAAAAAGTGAGATAGCCCCTGTTTGATGTGATATTTTATGTAGAAAAATGAATTGAATAATTATGGGACACATGTCCAGTGCAGCAGAGTGCTTGCTGAGAAAAATGATGTGCAACATGTAGGTGTCACTGTGATGCTTAGTATATACAGAGTGTAAATACGAAACTAAAACACGTGGTCTGCTGCAGAGGAAATTCAGCTGAAAAGCAGGTAGGGTTCAGAAGAAGGTCTGTATCTCTGAGGGAAGGTGAATGGCCCCAGACCAATTAGTGAATTTTTAATAGGGCATGCATTGATCTACAGGATGTTGGGTGTTTTATCCCCCTCGCTCGGGCCTGGGTTGGGGCTATATGGGTGCGGGTTAGGCCCAAATCTTGAAAAATTAAGCCAAAATCGGGGGGGGGGGTCCCCAGTGCATTTTTGGTACATATGCACTTAAATATGTAGATTACATGTTATATGTTGACATATTTTTTAAGCTATGGGTATATGAAATTCAATTAATTAGCCTTCAAAAAACTGTCCCCACTTATCTGTTTTCATTGACATCATGTATATACCTACCCCCTCGGCACATGTTTGGCATTAAAAAAAACTATCCCCTGCCACCCGAGCGGTCTAGCGCGCTGTTCCTGTACTGCTAGGAGATAGATTCCATAGGTCGAGAGTTCAACCCTGGGCTGGGGCGGAAGTGGGTATTCTTATAAAAAAGTGAATTTCTTTGTGCTTTATATATATATATATATATATATATATATATATATATATATATATATATATATATCTCGAAAGATCAAAATAAGACTAAAAAGAAAATTTTCACATGCGAATCATAAATTACACAACCTTGCAAACAAATGTTCCAAATGTTCAATACTAGCTAAGGATTGCATCTGGATTAAATTTAGATGCAAGTCATAATTAATGACCACATTAAAAAAAATATATAATTAAATGCTTAAAATTAATTAATCTGCTAAATTGATACTGTACCATTTTCATTGCAAGAAAATTTTACTCTTTTATAACACTTCTAGGTAAATTAATTAAATGACACGCGTACAAGGTATTCAAAAGTAAATTGTGTCAAATAGATTATACATGTATTTATTTATATATATTTTTAAACGTAAGACTACATGTATATATTAAGCACTAACGTAAAAAGTATCAGGTCATGCCATTTTAAAACTGAAATAACACTTATTGTATTTTCTTTCCAACAACATGTATATCATATTCATATATTCCATTAAAGCACACAAAGTTGACAAGGGCTTAAATAATTTTCAGTTTGCTCAGAGATGTGCTATATGCTGCAATATTACTAGTACTCCTACTTGGCTGTTGTTCATGAGCTTGTAAGCTTAGAGTTTCTTTCAAAAAAATCACATGCGTCTTATGTAAATACAATTATCACCATAAACAATAGTCCGGATAGAGAAACACCACTAAAGCAGGAACTACTATGGAGTGAATCTAAGTAGTGTAACTTTAGAAGCTCGTTTTTTCATCTCTTTACATTTCTTCTTTTTGGTTCCGAATTCTATCTGCAAGACAAGATATGTGAAAATAAGTATTATAAATAACTGAGATTGACATTGTATAAATTTGTGTCAATCATGGCGCCAAAATAACTTGTATACATATGCCCCAGCTTAGAAAAAAAATTGCGTTCACAACAGCTCTGATTTGAGCACATTCTATTGTATTATATGTACATGTACGAGAGCTCTACATAACCAATACTGATTTCACTCTTTTGGTTTGAATTGACTTTTCAACTGATTGTTGATTGACCTTTAGATTAATTAAACCAACTGAATTGATTAATAAGCAAAAGGATTGATTGATTGACTCCTAAATAATTGACTCATAAATTAAATAATCTGAAGATAATTTAAATCTTACTCTTCCATCTTCATGGCACAGCCTACAATTCTTTTTATTCAAGACCTCCAGTCCTGACGATAAAAATTGGTTTCCAAAGCGACAGCCTCGTTTGCAAATACAGGGACAAGATAAATCTCTAGGACAAAGGTTTGTTTGTTGTGACCTCAATGATCCCATTGCTACGCACTCTGTCCCCCTTGGGCATTCTCTAAAGAAAGAAATATACAATGTTGATTATTTATCTATTTTATTTGATGATTTTTTTTGTTACCACTTGAGGTGTCCTGCAGATTTAACAGTTTGAGTTTACATGAGACGACAAATATTTTATATCATGTAACCTGTTTTCAATAGACTGCCGAATTTTTCCAATACAATTTTTTTTTGGTGATATACATGATACATGGTGTTACAATAGCAAACTTTCTAAACAATATGTACAAAAGTTACTTCTATCAGAAGGTCGACTTTTGTATACATTTCTGAGTTACCTCTCTTGTGGTTGTTATTGTTCTGTTATATGACTGCGAAATAAGGGGATTTGAAAATATTGATATTATTGAACGTCCACATTTAAGATTTTTGAAATATACTCCAGTATTTTAAATCTAAATTCTAGTACTCCGAGTTTAAATGTATATGGGGAAACTGGACGTTACCCAATGTATGTGCGCATTTATACAAGAATGACATCTTTCTGGGGAAAATGAGAATAAGGTGTGTAGAATTATTTATTTCATCTTTATAATAGATATACTAAAAATGAGATAAGAATACTTAACTGTTTTACGAGGAAAATTTAGAAATGTTTTTAATTTGCAACATTTAGAACAAGTAATCATCGTCTTCCCATAGAGGTAGGTAGATGGAATAATCTTGAAAGAAATGAAAGAGTGTGTTATCTGTGCAATAAAATCAAATTCGAGATGAATTTCACTACTTACTCATGCAATATGTAGTATTCGAAAAAAAAAAAAAATGTTACAAAAATATTATGTACATCCAAATATTATAAAATTCTGTAATTTGATGACAAATACTGATCCTGCCATCTTAAGAAAATTTTGTATATTTATCAGCAAAAATTTATGACACTCTCAGTCATCCTCAATCGAAGTAATCTCTGCTCTTCCATAATAGTTGTAAATATGTATATATAATTATGTACATGTACCTCTTGTACATTTTATATGGTATTTTGAGAAAATGAATGAATGAATGATTTCAAGGAGGTGAAGGACACATGGTCACATAACACCTGATTAATCACGTGATCGAATTTTAAACTTAGAACCGGAACCCGAAAAGAAATTTGACAGACAATAGCAAAGAAAAGGAGATACCAAGAAGTCATGTTACGTACGGGGAAGATTTGCAAAGATCAAAATTCAAGAAAAAATTTGAAACAAACAGAAAATGAATCAAAGTCTTGATAACGATAAATGATATAGTTAATCTGAACGATTTCTAGAGAGGTAAGAGAGAACATCACTGTTGAGGGTTGAGGAAGATACATGTACGCAGAACCCTTGTTTTCATGGACGAAGAGTGGTTGAGTTAATATGTGTGATGGATGAAAAAGAAATAATGGCTTATACATCAAAAAAGGGGGCGCGCTAATTAATGGATGTGCAGGAAGCATTAAAATATTGTATAATAATTATAAGATTTAATGCCCTCCATATCATTTCTTGTTCACAAAAAGTTTATTTGCAAGATTTCTCCATTTATTTTTGAATTTTAATTTTATGTTATAGTGAAAGGCATGGAAACTGATATTGCATCTTGTATGTAGAGCGACTGGCTAGCGAAAGCTATACAGAATTGGGACCACGCATGCTGACAATGATTCGACAACACGTGATAGACTTCCTGCAAAAAAGTAGTTCATTATGTAGCAATTTCTGAGTAAGTTTACCCGCAAAAGGTTATCTCCACACCCCCCCCCCCTCCTTCAAGATTTCTCAAGAAATTCATATAAAATGACATAAAATTGCATGGATTTACAAAGAAAAGTTAGAATGATGAACATCATAAAAAATCTGCTATTCAAAATGTTTCGGGAATTTAATGTTTGTACAATTTACTATGAAACATATAACATATAAAAAGATATAGGGTCCAGTCTTCAAAATAAGTTCAGTAGTAATCATAATGGCTTGAGGTTAAGTAAACGTATACTTTCCATGGTCAAATGATTAATCAATTGAAACTTTCCATTCAATAGGACCCGTGCAATCGTCAGTGCTTTAAGTGGAAATATACATGTATGTCAGCAGAGTACAGCAGTCATGCAATAAGTAACATTATATCAAATTCTGGCTGGCCAGGAACAGAAACAAAAATCCTATACACTAACTATGAAGTCTCGTTATATTAATTCATCACGAAGCCCATGTATTTAGAGTAAGAACAAGTTACGGTTTCAATACAAATCTTGCCCTGTGTTTTTCTTAAAAATAAAAGGAATGTAAAAAATTAAAACCCATGCTTTTTGAATTATTGAAATTCCATGCAGAAAGATCATACAAATCTTTTTTCTCACATGACCTTCCAAATGCTAATTGTGACGTCATAAACTTGTGCATTTTCCCGTATTTTCTTAAAAAGTTGCAGAAGACATAAATTTTCAATGGAATTTTCTTTCAGATAATATTGTCCACAGGCATCGCCCACAAAGATTTTGAGATATTTGATTTTTCAAAGAATTTTACACAACATATCTAAAAATTAACGTGGGCGACGGCTGTGGACACTGTTTTCTTAAGGAAAATAACCCTTGAAATGGGTCATTTTGAGGCTTTTTCTGTTTAAAATAGAGAAATGCATCAAATTAATGACGTCATATATCCAGAATGGTACTCCATCATGCTATATTCTTTCCTGATTTATTACAGTCATATACTCAACTAATATTTAAGCCAGTTTCAAAACTTCTTGAAAACATTAAATTTTTAGGGCACAATAAAGCTAAAACCATACCTTCTTCTTTTATAAAACAACAAAGGTCTGGCTATGGGTGAACAAGTATGAGTTATTCGATCAAGCCACAAGTATTTATTTTCAATTTTCGATCATAATGAATATTCTAAGAGTTGAATTTTATTTACAATGTGAAGCGGACATACATGTATGAGTTGAAGTTGTGATAGAAGGTACCTTCGCTGGTTCTAGGCGTAAACATTGTGTATACGTTGCGCTTTTGTATGGTTTACATGGTAAATAGATATAGACAGCTAAATACTTTTTTGGTAAATTCATTATTCAACAATGCTTAAAATAATGATTAAGCATAGGTTGTGGTTTGAATTAATTTTCCACCATTATTGTAAATACCTAAAACAGTACAGTTTCTATATAACTAGTATATTCAGAGACACTTGGGGGCTGGATAATACCCTCCCCCCTTTTCATTTTTTTTTTTTTAAATCTAAGGGGCGACAGACCTTTTCCCTATTTCTGTATTCTAATATGCACCACATGATATCGATAATGTAACCCTTTTGTCTCAATAAGCTGTTTTTAAATATATCGTTTTCGACTGATACATAAAAACTCTCTTTTATGTATCAGTCGAAAACGATATTACTAGTATTTAAAAATATCACGTTTTTCACATCCCCATTAAAGTTCAAAGATGATACCTAATTTTTTAAAGGATATCGCAATTTACAGAATTGATATCATTATGAATCGCATCTCTGGGTAATATTAAAGTTTTTACAATATATAACCTGTTATGAGAGAACTTCTCGTGTTAAATTGTACTAGTTACATTTAGAACATAGTCAGACCCGTAGGAAGCAATTTCAGTTGGGGGGGGGGGGCACAGCCATACATTTTCAGTTGGAGGGGCACAATCAACTACCAAAAATTCTTGACAAGCAAAAAAAAAAAAAAAAAAAAAAAAAAAAAAAAAAAAAAAAAAAAAAGAAAGAAAGAAAAAAAAGGTCATCAGACGTTTTTAATTGAGGGGGCACAAGCATATGGTAGCTATGTTTTCTATAGTAATCTATATATCGGCAAAATTATTGGGGGCGCCCCCCCTTGCCCCCCGTGTCCTACGGCCATGAATAATCATTAGTATTGCCGAGAATGAGTCAAAACTGATCATGATATAAAATGATTTCATTTATACTTTTCTCCATAGATTATCGGCTCTAGCAGAAAGCAATTTCATATGTACAACAAAACAAGAGACAGCATACTGCATGCAACATTTATGATGTCCCAGTCCACAACAACATATATTAACAACCTAACCAGCAACCAGAAATATATTTTCTTATCTGAAACTTACATTCTCGGATCAGAACAGTCCCAGGTATTTTTAGGAGGACTCCGTGTTGTCGTTACAGGTTTTATCTCCACATCAAATGCAGGAATCGGTTCCCCGGGAGCAATTCTCCTTAATTTTTGTTTTAACAGTTGTTGAAATATTGTCTCAAAACTATTAAAAATGTCCCTATCCGATACTGGAGAAGCATTTCTACTTGATGAAACAGGCAAAAATTGCGCCTCCGCGTGTAAAGAAGCTAAAATGCAAGATACAACACATGCATGTAACATCGCCATATCGTATTAATTACAAGAAAAATTAAAATGCTAAGTGATACTTGATACATAAATGTTACGGCATACTATTACTTGCGGTAGCTTGTTGAGCAAGTAGAATAATGTTTCACCAAACAAACATTTTATGAAGAATTAATTAACTAAATATAGATTTAAATCCGGCATAAGTTTGTTTTCTCTCACAAACATGTCACACATTAAAAAAAAATGAACCGGAACTGTCAGACAAATAATTTATCCGTTTCATCTGAAAGAAATTCACTTCACCTTGCAGCGAATAATTTATAATTGCATATATACCAGTATAAAACCTTGATCACCAATCGCATCCCACCGACTAAATCATTTTAGATTTGACACTGGAGAAAATTCGAGTTGACATCTACATTGTTTAAAATGATATTCGTTGCACAACTTTTGAAAAAAGGGGAGATATAAATCGTTGATAAATGCCGTACGTTTTTCGAAAAAATGCGACATTTTCGTCCAGGAGAAAAGGTTAACAAAAATGCATCAGTTGCACTCGTGTTCACCATTTATCACGTGCATAGACTAACACTGTTTGGTTTGATTATATTTGAAAAGGCATTCATACGAGTATTCATGAAATACTTATTACCAATTTGAGTAATGGAAGATTGTAGCTTCATGCACATTTCACAATTTATAAAACTTTCTATGTAAGAAAGACTTTTTAACATACATGAACCATATTTTTTACCGGGTTAATTGATTAATAAAGATACTGAATCATAAAATATTTGTTAAATAGGTTAATCTTATTGATAAACAGAATATGTTTTTTGGGGAAAAACGCTATTTGGTGTTTAATAAATAAATAAATAAATAAAAATCAATATCCGTGTACTTGTTGTCTTTGAAATGATTTCATGTTGATTTTTTTTTTTACATCTAGAACAAAATTGCTTTAACATCTGTTTTGCTCACCGAAGCTGTAAAATATGTTGTTAAAGCATTCAGATTAATTTCAAAACATGATCGTGTAAATTTCAAAGCAATTTAATTAGGCCCAAAACATAACTAAAACATAAAATGGGACATTAGAATATTTAGTAAAAGGTTAGCACTAATTATATATACAGGATATAATAAGCAAATAGATGCAAGAACACACGTAGACCTGTCATATAAATGTGTTACTCTGTAATTATTTACACGACTATTATATGTACAAACAGGTAAACCACACCCAGACATTTGCCTTGTAAGATTTTAAATGAAATACAAAAAAAATTATATATATATATATATATATATATATATATATATATATATATATATATATATATATATATATATATATATAATGTGCTGAATTTTCATGAAAAGAGGTTATTTTTTTTTTTTAAAGAAAACATTTTTTTGTAAATTTTTTATTATAAAATGTTCTGACATGGTTTGAACTTAGATTTGAGAGTTAAGTTTATTATTCTTTGGCGTAGACTACTGGTGGAGTTATTTGTTTACTTTTAGTGTATAATCGATAAGTTACATGTTCATTTTTTCTCAGAATTCACCTTGCATGCATATTTAAGGCTTACTAGTAGTTGATGCCAGCATTCTCCCATTTTCCCCGCAACCATCTCCAATATCCTACAAAGTCCTTGAAATTAGTCTTTTTCTTTCCTTTTAGAGAGTACTACGTTTACTTTATATTTGTATCTAGATTTTTCAATTTTATCTTCGATAAAATGCTAAGAATTCATGTTCTACTAATGCAATTCATCAAGGTAAAATAAAATCTACAGCCACGTTTTATGTTAATATAACTTCAGTTAGTTTCAAATTGGCATGTCTATGCACCGTTCATTCTTATAACGAAAATTTAAGATGTCAAATCTGCATTTTTTCAGTAAAAATAATAAAAATAAATTATACCATGGATGTCATGAAATCATATTTCATCAGAAAAATTTTACTGACAGATATTCTTGTAACTTTTCACAACACAAAGGATGCATGGTATATCTTCAATTTCTGCGGATATTTCAAGGACCTTCTAGAAATGATCGATTGTGAAACTAGAACATAAAAAAGTTTTACAATATTTGCAAAATATTAAGCAAAATTTCAAAGGAATACATCCTTTTAATCATAATCTGAAGTTTTTTTTTCTTTTTAAGATTTTCATTTTCAAGCTCATTTACCAGTTTGACAGAATTTTGTCGTGTATATTTCAAATTATGTCACGTTTAAGACGATTTTTTCCTTTAAAAATTCACCTCGAGATACTTGATATTTTTGTAACAATTAACGTGACACGATTTGAATAGTTTTAACTTTGCATTTATTTAACAAATGTCTATTTTTAGAAATCGAGAAATATGATAGACACTTTACTCTCAAAGAACTTAAATTTTCATGCATATATGAATAAGAAAAACTGTAAAAACCAGAGAAATTAATTATATTTCAAACTTTTCATGACGTTATTAACTAGTCATTTCATAAATTTTCTTGGCAATTCGTAAAATACAAAAAATTACATAAACATGACAATGCATTTCGTCTACTATTAATTAATGCTTCTGATATATACTGAGTAGATGAATATTATGAAGGATGTAAATTCAACATCTAATATAAAACCAAAATTTAGTTTCATCATCATCATTTGAATTTCTCGATAAATATTTTACAAACACTTAAGGCCTGAATCAAAATATCCAATGTTTCCCCTTAACCCCTAGCAATTTTATGCTTTGGATAGGTACAGCGTAGGTAGTTGGGTAAGGGAAGAGTGAAATTCTTTTCTATTACACTGTAAAAAATGTGTTTAGATGATAGACACATTTCTAAACACATTCTTGTCACACTTTTTTTTAAAACATTAATTTCAATACGCGTAATGGAAAGTGTTTTAAACCTAAATACTTACATGTTTAGAGTTTAAACACAATTCTAAACACTTAGATTTGTGTTTAGAAGCTAAACACTTTAATGTTTTAAACAAGGATCTGCAAGAAAACTAAAAGTATAAAAAGTGTGTCCGTTTTAAGTTTTATTTACTTCTAAACATCATATTAAAATGATTTTTTTAAAAAAAAAAAACCTAACACACAGGAAAGTGATAGTCTTTTGGAAGTTCTGACATATAAAACTACTGGCATCTAAAGAGTAAGTAACACCCAAGTTGTTGAATCGTCTGCATTTTGTACCAGTAGCACAATACAAAGTAAATATATATTTAAAAGACTCCAGCTATGGTGTGCTTCTTGCAGTGTGATGCAATACGGTTCACTATTTCAAATCCGTCGTGATGTAAACAAAACAGCAGGGTATCTGGATAATCTTGAAAGTATTTTCTATGGCAGTATAATTCTTCTTTCAGATCCATTAACAGAGTTCTTTCTCTAGGCTATCCAAAACGTTAACCTGTAAGAAAGGACGTACGTTGCATTTAAGTAACAGTATGTGCTCCTCATTAAACATGCTGAAGTTTTACATTAATTACTAAGCATATAATAGAAATGTTTAAATCAATATTATTGCAAGCATAGATTCAATATTTACTCTCATTAATGAATACATGATATGACACCGAAAGACATCCTTGATATAAAGTGCAATGTTGTTTACTTTGACCATCATGTTCATTTTATATATAAACAAAAGCATACATGCCCTATAATAACAATAACAATGAGCCTTTCACATGTATTTCACTATTTCTGCGGTGGTTGGCACTCAAGTTCTCATCAGCTTTCTTGAAAACATCGTTTACTGTTTTGTTGTGATTTTCTTTGTCTCGACAACCGCGCTTATTAACTTTCAAATATGTATAATTTCCGGGAAGATAACTCTGCACTTGACCGAATTTAAAACAAAAAACATGTTCAATATCTAAACGCGTATAGATTTTAAATACATTTAGACATAAGTGTTTTGTTGTTAAACACAATATCAAACACGTTTAGATCTAAATACTAATGGAAGTGTTTATTTCCCAAGCATATTTTTTACAGTGTATATAATACATTTTTGTACTATTAGATGATACAGGTGAAGGCTTTCAACATATACATGTATTTATTTATATCAATTTATGATAACATATAGGAAATCAATTGTATTCACAGAAAAAAGTCCAGCTTCTTCGTATGCATCAAGTATTTATGTAATTATATAGGGTTATTGAACTCATATTGGTGAATATTGGCACTTGTTGGCTGTACAAATGCACGGGCTTGTGAGTGCATTTGTACAGCCAACGAGTGCAAATATTCACCAATATAACTTCAATAACTCCTTTATTATATAGCTAAAACATCTCCCATTGGTTTATATTAAATATTTCAACGAGGTAACTCAAATTAATAAGAATTTTTTCTATTTGTTTTCGTCCGTCATCGCCAATCGTGTGTTAACCTTTAAACATTTTCAGCTTTTTCTCTGAAACAACTGAACCAATTTCAACCAATTTTGGCATATAGCATTTATGAGTAAAGGGGAGTAAGAATTGTGATTTTCATGGCCCCCTGTCCCCCTGGGGCCTGAGGGGTGGGGCTTAAACCATCAAAATAAATGCAACCTTTAAAAATCTTCTTCTTTACTCCTGGACGTCAGCCAAACTATTGGCATGATTGTAATCAGCATTGAGCCCTCTACCAAAATTGTGAAATTCATGGCACTAGGGTCAGGGGTTCTGGTGTTAGGGCGGGGCTCTAATAATTATATAGTGAAAATGCATGAATTGTTTGAAAATCTTCTCTGGTCCTGGGTATTAAACCAATGAATTATGTACATAGTTTTGATGAGGAAGGATGCCTCTTCCAAAATTGTGAATTTCATGGCCCCTGGGTCAGGGATTCTGGTGTTAGGGCGGGGCTCTAATGATTGATATGGTTCCCTAATTATTCCCACTTCTATGGGAAACACTTTCTGTGGAATACACAGTACAAGTTAAACAATACTCCCTGTAACATATTGGACTAAAAAACGACAAATAATGTGTTTTATTAATTGTATGTTTTATTTCATTATCAATTGTATATTTACCAAGTTCATCATTTGGGACGAGGTCGGTAATTAGCGTTACCCGAAATTCCTCGACATCTAACATTTTCCCAAGTCACGCTTTAACTGTTTACGATTGTTTTAGTTTATGCTTACGAAGTTCATCAGCAATAATGCCAAAATGTATCCATCAGTAATTATCCGCGCCCTAGGGTGCGTGATTTCTTTCGTCGGTCCGATTGGCATGGCAGCAAAACAAAGCTTCTTTGCTCTGACAAAGATGGCGGGTATTTTCACTTTGTTGTGACGTCACGACAATCGAGCCCGATGCCAATATAAGCCAGCGCAGATCGATCGACTAGTCATGATCAGTTTTCTCGGTTGACTTTTACAACTCATATCGCCAGAATGTCTGGGAGTGAAAGTCAATGGGTTATTACTATTGAAAAATAATTGATTTATGGAGCTGATGAATTTTTGATAACAGTCAACTTTTATTTTTAATAATAATAGTAAATTGTTCTGTGGGAGAAAATTAGTGGGAGGTGAAATAACTCTCCCATAACTATATTTGACTTTGATACGATATTGCAAGGAACTCCCAGTATTTGGGAAATACTTTAATACTTTTGTAAATTTATTTATAATTCCCGAAAACTTCATTCTCCCATTTGAGAATATTTTATTCCCATTTCTAATTGGGAGAGAAATAATATTTCTACGGGAGCAAGAAATAGGGATAATCATTCAAAGAGATTGTGGAAATTAAATACAACAAGCAATAATAAATTTTTATACATTTTAATCCTGGCTCGGAGTTCATTTGTACAATATACAGAATTTCGAGACCCACAAGTTGCATAAGGGAGAAAACCCCTGAACGGCAACATGATTATAAAGTGAAAATGCATGAATTCTTTGAAAATCTTCTCCTCTGCTCCTAGGTATTAAACAAATGAACTTTGTACATAGTTATGATGAGGGAGAAGGTGCCTCTTCCAAAATTGTGAATTTCATGGCCCCTGGGTAGGGGTTCTGGTGTTAGGGCGGGGCTCTAATGATTATATAGTAAAACTGCATGAATTGTTTGAAAATTTTCTTCTCTGCTCCTGCGTATTATGCTGATGATCTAAGTACATAGTTATGATGAACAAGGATCCTTCTTCCAGAATTGTGAATTTCAAGGTCCCTGGGTCAGGGGTAGCGGGGGGTGGTGGTCTAATGATTATATACTGAAAATGTTTGTTTGTATGTTGTTTAACGTCCCTCTCGAGAATATTTCACTCATATGGAGACGCCACCACTTGCCGGTGGAGAGCTGCAAATTTTTTCCTATACTCGGCACTTACGGCCATTGAGCAGTGAGGGATCTTTTTCGTGCCAGCACCTACTGCGACACGGGACCTCGGTTTATACGGTCTCATCCGAATGGCCGGTCTCCACGTCCCACAGTGGGATAAGAACCCGTACTGAAAATGAATTAATGCTTTCAAATTTGCTCCTTGTTATTAATCAAACATTTATGATGAGCAAGGGTGCCTTTTCCAAAAATTGTGAAATGTATGGCCCCAGGCTCAGGGGTTCCTGTGGGGTGGGGGTACTACTGATTATTGCTGATTATTAATGATTAATGGAAATACATTTTTTCTTTGTTCCCTTACTCTGCCTTTGGGTATTAAATAATCAAACTTAAAACATGCTACCTCTATAGTTATGATGAGCAATGGTGCCTCTTTCAAAATTGTGAATTTCATGGCCTCTGGTCTAAAACACGAACTAAATTCAATTGTTGGAAAGTTGTTACATGAAACTCAGGTGTCCGTGGGCCTCTCGTTAGCTCTTCTGAGCCAAAGAGCTAATGGATGGCCATTTGTCGGTGTGCATAAACTTTTTAGGTCACCTGAGTCACTCAGGTGACCTATTGCTATCTGTTTTCGTCCGTCGTCGTGCGTTAACATTTGAACATTTTCAGCTTCTTCTCTGAAACCGCTGAACCAATTTCAACCAATTTTGGCATATAGCATCTATGGGTAGAGTGAACAAAAATTGTGAATTTCATGTTCCCTGCCCCCTGGGGCCTGAGGGGTGAGGCCAAAACCACTAAAATGAATGCAATCTTTAAAAATCTTCTTCTTTACTTCTGGACACCAATCAGTCAAACTGTTGACATGATTGTAATAAGCATTGAGCCCTCTACCATATTTGTGAAATTCATGGCCCTCGGATCAGGGGTTCTAGTCTAGGGTTGGGCTCTGTTGAATATATAGTGAAAATGTATTATTTCTTTAAAAATCCTCTTCTCTGCTCCTGGGTATTAAGCCGATAAACTATTTACATTGTTTTGATGAGGAAAGGTGCCTCTTCCAAAATTGTGAATTTCACGGCCCCTGGGTGAGGGGTTCTGGTGTTAGGGCGGGACTCTATTGATTATATAGTGGAAATGCATTAATTCTTTGAAACTTTTCTCCTCTGCTCCTGAGTATCAAGCCGATAGACTACGTATAAAGTTATGATGAGGAAGGGTGCCTCCTCCAAAATTGTGAATTTCATGGCCCCTGATTCAGGGGTTCTGGTGTTAGGGTGGGGATCCATTGATTATGTCGTGAAAATGCATTAATTATTTGAAAATCTTCTCCTCTGCTCCTGGACACTACACCAATGAACTATGTACATAGTTATGATTAGGAAGGATGCCTCTTCTAAAATTGTGAATTTCATGCTATGGCCCCTGGGTCAGGGGTTCTGGTGTTAGGGCGGGGCTCTATTGATTACATGGTGAAAATGCATTAATTCTTTGAAAATCCTCTTCTGCTCCTGGATATTATGCCGATAATCTAAGTACATAGTTATATATGATGAGAAAAGGTACCTCTTCCAAAATGATGAATTTCATGATCCCTGGGTCAGGGGTACCGTGGAGGGTGGGTGGGGTGGGGAAGCTCTAATGATCATATACTGAAAATGAATTCATGCTTTGAAATCTGCTTTTAGGTATTAATCAACCATTTATGATGAGCAAGGGTGCCTTTTCGTAAATTGTGAAATATGTGGCCCTAAGGTCAGTGCATGGTTCCTGTGGGGTGGGGCACTACTGATCATTATAGTGGAAATGCATTTTTTCTTTGTTCCTCTGATCTGCCTCTGGGTATTAAGTAATCAAAGTAAGCATGCTTAGTGTATAGTTATGATTAGGAATGGTGCCTCTTTCAAAATTGTGAATTTCATGGCCTCTGGTTTAAAACACGAACCAAATTCATTTGTTGGAAAGTTGTTGCATGATACTCAGGTGACCTATAAGGCCCATGGGTCTCTTGTTAATTTTCAGTATCGGTATTTAAATTAACGTCTGTCCTGTAAGTGTTCAATATCGCATCATTCCAATGACCCTACCAAGCGTTATGATATGCTTATTGAGGTCTTATTGAGGCTGATACGAACTGAATTATAATTAATGATTTCAATTTTGCGTGAAAATAAACACTTCTTACCTAGCTGCCACTACCTATCATAAATTTGCCTTTGTAAAGTTGACCAAACGATATTTTTTGCTTACAACGGGGCGTTCGATATTGAACGCTCTTATTCGGAATGTTTCGTGCATACTCATATAGTTACGTAATAATAGAAATTCAGCGTTCGATATAACGCCAAGATATTGAACGCTAAAATTCTCTAGACTTTTAATATTTTTTTTATAGACTATTTATTAGCTATATAATAATCTGATATATTGAATGGTTTTAAATGACATGCATGTAAATGTGCTTTAGCATTGATTTAAAGCTTAATACAGATTGTTTTACAAATATCCCTAGTTTTGTTGAGTATCATATAAGTGTCCTTAATCCAGAATTACCCATATTTAGTGAAGAAATGTAAACTAATGACATGTACTTTTTGTTTCGATTACATTTTGATGTAAATGCTATTATTTCAATGCCTAAGGACACAAAAAAATCTTTCAAATTTGATATTAATCCTCGTGACATCACACTGTGTCAGGGCTGCCTCCTCCTTTTGTTGACAGGTGCATCACACACGTGTAATAATTTCACATGATCGTATCCAAGACTACATGTAAATACTTCAAAAATGTCTTCGCGGACCATTTATTGTTGTTTTTTGTAAATGTTGCAATTACAGTTTAAATGTGTCAGGAACACGAAAACCTTTTAGATTTGATATTCATCCGCGTGACTCCACACTGTTGCAGGGCGTGACTACTCCTTTTGTTGACAGGTGCATCACACACGTGTGGTAATTTCACATGATCGTGTTCAAGACTAAATACTTCATCCAACATTTCTTGATGTATCATACAAGATTGTCTAACTTTGGATTTCTTAATTTCCGCATAAATGTGAAGAAATTTTCTGGCAATTATTTGATCTTCTTGTCGTATTTCATTCTGTTCAAGACACAACAAAAGTTTTACAACATATAGAAGAATGATCATAGTATTGCAATGAACAAATTTGTTAAGTCTCACACATTCTCAGATAAAATATACATGTATCTAAGGGCATGTTAAACGGAAGCAATACTTTTTAAAACGTTGGCCAATTTTATGAAATTGTATTATAAAATTTTCCATTGTTAACCTACAACAAATTGAAGATAAAACACTTACTAATGTTCGTAAAACGTACTGCAGTTTTTCCCCTAATGACATTCCAAAGGTAGGGTCATTAGTTGTGTTTTTCTCACTTTCTACACACTCCGTGACGTCAGCAAGAGATCCTCGACTGCACGAGAATTTCTTCCTCATCGCAACTGCCGAAACGTCTGCTCCATCCAAAACATTATCGCGCGATCCTCTTCTGCGCATAGCATATTCGGTTATTTCTTCCAATAAATTGCTGTTAGATGCTCTTCGAAGAGGTTTCATTAACCAGGAATTCTTTATGGATTCGATATCATGTCTTGGTTTTAGTTTCAATTTTTTGGAAATCTCGATTAATGCTGATAAATGGTCCTGGCTCATTTTTCATGAAAATAAAACACTGAAACAACTGAGTATCCGTGAAAACTAAGAAAATAACTACAGGATAGGTTATTGTTGGGGTTTCCGGAAAGCAAGGATACGTGATTCAGGCATTTTAAAAGACACTTAAACGCTAGTACGACGGATGTTCTGAAGTATTCCTCATCTGTTGTGTGTAGCCGAAAAGGAAGTACACAGTGAATCAACGAACGGAAGGATTAAAACCGTTTTACAAGAAAAGTTTTACTTGGCATGTTTTGAATATTTGTATATATTTTCAAAAAACATAAATTATGTAGTTGATTCTTTTTTTAAAAATTCTATTTATCTCTTGATTTATAAGATAAAATAATAAAAATGTTCGGCCTCTGCAGAGACAGGCTCATCTAGATTTTTTAATTTATTTTGTATTTTGGCTCAAAACATTATGAATGTGGTATATGAAATATACTTCCAAATGTAAGAATGGATCAGAAATTTTCCGGAGTCATACTTAAATTTAATGAATAGTTAAATTTGATGAACAGTGCATGCATGTGATGAATTTTAGTCAGAGATATTGAACAAAATCTTTGCTATAATATAGTGGAAATTATGATGCCTTTGAAGTGTGTATAAAATCAAAATGCTCTCTAAAATTCATTGCCTAATCAACACTTAACAACAGGCTTTATCAACACTGCTATGCATTAGAAAAAGCATAACAATGCCATATTTTCGTATCATGCATAGCAGGAAAACAAGTGACACTTAATGGGAAGAAGGACCTTGAGCTTAAAAAAAATTGTCATTTAATTTTTTTTTCATATTTTGTTTATCACTAAGTTAGTATGTCCCACGTATTTTATAGCAAATATATCATTAGATTTCGTCTCTTATTTTGGAAATATTGATCATCAAATACCATGCCGTACAGAGTCAATGCAGAGTTTTGATTCTCCATGTTTACAGACCCATCATTCCGTCCATAATTGGAATTTTTAACCCATAGATAAAAAATATGGTGGTAGACATGTATCTCTTCAAATATTTCAGAATATGAATAAGTTTAGATTAAAAAAGGAAGTTTCTTTTTAATCACACTGCATCTGGATAGGAAAAATTGCGTATATTTTCAGTCAGCTTAAGGTATTCAATGTATTACGACCATATTTGTACCTAATAAATGAATGGTCGTATATTTTTAATCATGGTAACATTTTGAATGTGTTATCAAATAAAAGTACTCCATCAAAGGAATTTACAAAATTTTGATTATTGTCCAATTAATTGCACCTTGAGTTTTACATTGGTCTATGGGCAGTGCATGTTTTATTAAGATATTGTAAAAATTAATTTGAAACTCATACAAATCTCTTGTTGAAAATATACATAAACTCTCTCTTTATTAAAATATGAAATAAAATGAATCATCTACCACAGATATTTTGGAAAAAAAAATGAAATTTTCTTCTTTTCATCAAGGGCAGATAACTCTTGTAAAACGTTTAAAGTCAAAATGGCCGGCTTCTAATATGTTATCAGTCATGTAAATTTGGTTCATTTTACTTTCATCATTATTTAGCAATACATATTTATCTAGTTTAAAATGATTCAAAAATGTTCAAGTTTCTTTCATTATACATTGAATACCTTAAACAACAAAAACTTTATTTCTAAAAAACTCTATCATTCATTATTTGAAAATTTACATTGAAAATGAAGTCCTTAATTTTGCTAATTATCCTTAAAAATATCGAAAGGTGAAGCATACAGTCATATACTTCAATATTGCACAGGACTTACCTAAACAAGATATTAGCATGGTAAAAACATGTCATGTAAACTTACATTCTCGAGTGCGGGAAAAACCAACTATGACGTCACACATAAGCTAAATAAATGAAATAAGATATATCTACAAAAGATTTCTGTCAAAAACCGTGTAAAAATAAATGCTGTGTTCATTAATTTACAAAATACCCTACCAGGTGCTGATTATGAAACGTTTTTATGTATAATACTACCCGTGTATTCACCGAGTATGATCTTGATGTACTAATTATAAGAGATCGTGTATGACGTCACCGACTTGTTGGACGCGCAGGTAGTATAAGGAAACAGAAGTGTGGATCAGTCTACTCCGTAATTTATAAATTATTTTTATATTAGATGTTGAAGTAAAACAAATCATCAATAAAGTTTTACAAGTACTGATCGTTTAAATCAGGTTTGGCACTTAAATTATCAGAGACTATGACCCCTTATTGTTTAATCCCCTTAATGTTTTCTCTTGGGCGTTTCTCTTTCATATCTAAGTTAAGAGATTTAGTCTTAATGTTAAATTTCCCATTGCAAAATGAAATAACGTTTATATGCTTGAATAAACAAGAAAAGTCTAGCGTGAGATCTTCCAATAAATTACTTAATACAGCATTGAATTTGGTATCCAGCGGATAATCATCCAAACAAACCGTAAGAGCCTTCCACATTTAGAATTTATTCCATAACAAGTTGAATAATTATTCCATTCAAACAAGATACGTAACAAAATAAGTAATTATAAAAATGAAAGAAATAGAAAAGGAAGAAGAGAATTTGCCCTAAAACAGATATTTTTATACTCTTTATTTCCGAGTTTTTCGGTAGACTGTTTTCACTTCAAGCACTTTCATTATCATTAAATATATTCTTTTTCATTCTTTTAACATCATAGTAGAAATCATAGTAGAATCAACGAGATCCCATGCATAATTTATATTTTTATTTCAAGTAAACCTTTTTCGCAGACCTATATTTTATTCACAAAATCAACATATCAAACCCTTAAAACTGGAGTTAAAATTAAAGTATTTAATTTACAATTTCTCAATATTTCTCTTTTCTACATGTTGCTACATTTAGAATGTGAGCTAACAATCCGACAAGTTGTACAAACTTATCTTGATCTCGCATTCCATCATTCGTAGCTTCTATTGCTAACAAGTTTTTCTTTGGATTAAAAAATGATGGCAGAAATCTTTTCTCAACACTATTCTGAAAACGATGAAGTATTTTCCTGGCCCATACTATCGAGACATCATTTTGATTATCCTGAATTATTGCGGCGCTTTTACCCTGTTGAAGGATCCATTCATACCATTCATGGAGAAGACATGTTTTCATTTGATAACTGGTAATGTAGGTTTTCACAGCTCTGTTGAAATCATGGTCCACAACCTTTGGAAAATATCCAGATTCCGCTAAAATTTTTAAAAGGATGTAACTCTTTTTAACAGGATATGGAATGTCTTTAAAGATATTCTGTTCCAAATAAGAATAAGAAATTCGATAGAACAAAGTAAAGTCTTTCACATGACATCTATCAGGGGTTTTCATAATGACTGTTGAAAATCCGTCCCCTGTTCCATTTTGGCAATTATCTTTCCTTTGGTGATGTAGGTGTTTTGGTATCCAGTCTTCAAACTGTAGAGCAGGAACAACGTCTACTGAGACTTGGAAAAATTTTGCTTCCTGTCCAAACACAAGAAACCTTAACTCTGATATGCTACACCAAATTTCTTTCATACTTTTCAAAAGAACAATATGATGGTAGTCTTCGTTTTCGTTTAGTATTATTCCTAATTCTTCATTAAAACATTTGTAGAAATCTTGAAGAAACGACTGACTGTCAAGGAATCCGTCCCTAGTGAGATATTTATCATACGGAGAATTTTGAACTCCTGATTTTATCCTGATCTTGACAAAATTTTCAGGAAACTCGTCCCCCTCAACGGGATGGACTAGCCCTGGGAGATCGGAAAAGATAAATAAGTAGTCATATTCATCTGGAATTTTCACTTTGGTTCCTTCATACATACTCCCAACTAACTTAACTTTGCAAGTAAATGGAGGATATTTAATGCCAATTTTTTCAGCCAAAAGTATAAATAACTTGTGAATTTTCTCTGGAACCAAATGATTATCTTTCAAGGGATAGAATAATCCCATTTCACCCAAAGTAAGAGATTTTTGCAAACAAGACTGAATAGATGATTCATGCAATTTCAAGTGGTCGAGATACTCTTCCATATATAGTTTGTCATTTTCTTTCCTCATGTACCTCAGGTGTGGGCAGGCAATTAAAGGGTCCATGCCACTGCACTCTAAAGTCGGCACCTGAAGTTCCAGGTAGTCCATTTCCTGAAATTTTTTGCCTTCAACTAAACCGGAATAGTAAGCAAAATTCAATTTTTTGGCAATGCCTCAGGATTATTTCCAGTGATATCTTTTAATGTGTAGTCACATCCAACTTGGAGTAACGTTTGAACTGAAGACTTTTCTTTAAACCATACTGCCCAATGCAGAGCTGTCGACCCATAGATGTCAACAACATTAAGATTGTAATTACCATCTAGAATGTAATGAATAACAACATGAAGCATGTTGTAGTTCTTACAAGCCCAGTGCAGTGCCGTGGCTCCTGTCTTAGTCTTCTGCATAAGGTCTGCACCACAGTCAAGTAATGCCACAAGAATGTCCAAGTCATTCTTCAAAGTAGCCAAATGGAGCGGAGAAATTCCATCCACGTTTTGTTCATTGACTCTTACACCAGCTTTTACTAAACATTTTATAACCTCGGCCCTTTGTTCCAAAAGTTTTTGGTCATAAGTAATGTCTACTTCTTCAACAGCACAATATATTTCATTTCTGCCTCTGTCGTCCTTAACATTAATCGCAACTTTTCGACTCAGAAGTTCACCTACACCTTCAACTGTTGTTTCTTCTGACATCAAGGCATGATGCATCATTGATTTTCCCGAATTATCTTTTTCGTTCACATCTAATCCTTTCTTCAGCAGTATTTCTGTTAACCTCGGGAATCCATCTAAGTGATTATTGCTGGCAAGATAGTGGAAAACGGTCTCACCTAATCTGTTTTTAGCAAAAACGTCAGCTCCGTTATCAATAAGATATTCGAAACTATCAACGTCTCCGACATTAGCAATGATATGTAAGGGCGTATCTCCATTATTATCTATGCTATTAATAGGTATACCCTTTTCTAACAATTTTTTAATCAACAGAATTTTATTTTCTTCTCTGCAGTTAGGAATTAAATGAAGAAATGTTCCTCCTGTCAGGAGATCCTTTTCTAATATATTGGACACATAGTCT